GGTAAGGTGGGAAATGACTGACCTAGAAATTAATTGTCAACCTAGAAATTTATTTCGTCAAACTAGAACCTTTGTCTCTTAGATCTAATAGAGCAGACAAGTATCTGTTGATTCGAGAAGGAGAAAAACAGCCTAGGATTTAAACTCTGGAATATAGACTTATTATAGACTTGGCTCACTATAGGCAAGTTTTTTTAAAATGTTTAAATGGCATTATTCTTACTTGCAAAAGAGACAAAAGAAATTAATCTTGCTGAATCACGTCTGTGAGATTTTGTCAACTAAGTTCATTCTAAATAAAAGGTTTAATATCTAGAGAACTGATTTTTTCTTCTTCTCCCAGATATGAAGGTTGACAGCTAGCATTTCTCTGAGAAGTAACTCAGAGAAGAGATTCAAAAAGTTTAAAGACACAGATTATATAGAATGACACAAAGGATGAAATTTTTAACAAAAAAAGCAGTTGAGAACTTTTAAGAAATACGAGCCCATAGCATAATGGATGTGAATACATCTGCAACTCATTTCTATATGATTTTCCCAATAAATCTTCAATCAGAGATATGAAGACTACAAAGTACAGTTCCAGCTTGAAGGCACATGTAAATTTATTCATATATTTTAATAAAAGAGAGAACTACAGTAAAATGAATAATGGAATTCCTGTTATATCTTCTTTTATCAAAAGGCAGAACCAGATGACAGCTCCCGAGTCCAGTAGTCATTCCTCTGTCAGATGTCATTCCTGGAACACCTAGAAGCTTTGATCTTGTTGTCTTAGAGAGATTTTTTTTCATTGGATCTAAAGTTGTTGTGCACCATCCAGAGTCGCTTTTGGTGAGATGGGCGGCTATATAAATTTGATTAATAAATAAATAAATAAAATCTAAAGTTAATCCAAGTGATTTTGAACTAGCTTATCGTGTTGTACTTTTTCATTTACTATATTAGATTTCGCCACTGATGCGACCTCCTTTTGAAACATTCTTAAGGGCACTTGTCAGATTATCTCCTTGAATGTTCTTCCCTTATTCATTTTTCAAATTGATTGGTTGCCTTAGAGCAACAGCTGATGTCAGAGAGATCATTAAACTATTGATATATATTTAAAGAAATGTTTTACCATTATCCTTAAAATACAAAAGAACACAGATGCACTTGTTTCCCTAAGCTTTTTCTTGTGAAGCGCGTGATCACTGAACCAGTTATACTGGTGGAATCCAACTCCTGGGAACTAGGTATGTTTAGCCTAACTAAGAGAAGCCTTAGGGAGACCTGATAGCAGCCTTCAATACTTGAAGGGGTGCCCCAAGGAAGAGAAAATTGATTTATTCTCCATAGCTTCTCTGGGCAAGACAAGTGATGGCTCATCAGAGATCTCCAACCTTGAAATAAGGAAAAAAATTCCTGACTGAAACAGCTTGCGTCCCAGAGTTGTGGGTGTTCCATCACTGGAGATTTTTCAAGAAAAGATTGGACAAACATTTATCCAGGATGTCCTAAAAGTCCTTTTTCAAAAAGCAACTGGACTTTCTGGTTTTCCTTTGAAAACATTTCACTTTTCATCCAAGAAGCTTCTTCTCTGTAGCCGAAGAAGATTCTTGGATGAGAAGCTAAATGTCTTCAAAGAAGAACCAAAAATGCTGGACTAGAGGAGGGGACTGGACTAGAAGACCTTTAAGGCAGAGGTCTCCAACCTTGGCAACTTTAAGACTTCTGGACTTCAACTCCCAGAATTCCTCAGCCAGCTGGCCGGGGAATTCTGGGAGTTGAAGCCCACAAGTCTTAAAAAGTGGCCAAGTTTGGAGAGCCTTGGTTTACAGCATCGGATTTAACCTTGAAAGGAACCGATTATCCACAGATCCAGCATTGGGGAAACACGGGAACTCTTCTCTAAACAGAGCCTATATATATAAAAAAAATAAATAACCTAAGATGCACACTAAGCGTAACCACAGCAGGCCGCAGCCCCTGGTAACTTCCATTTGGTCACAACTAAGCAGAAGCAGAGCCGTTTGGTACTTGGATGGGGACCCTGGAAACGCAGAAGCGCAGAACCGACACTTGCTTTCATTCTTTGCTGCTGTTACGCTTGCATTTTATTCTGAGGATTCCTTCGTGAATGAGGGGGCCTCAGGCTTCCCTGTAAATTGTTATAGAGGAATAAAACGGGGACAAAAGCACAGGCTGTAAACTACGTACTTTGGAGACGTAAAACCCGAAGAAATCTTAAGAACTCTGCATTTTATCACATGAGCAGCTTACTGATTCTGCTATCTGTTTCGCTGGCCTCAAAATAATGCACAGATTTAGCCTCCCTAAACTCTTTCAAACACAACCCCCCCTTTTTAAAATCTTCTCTCCAGCACGTCCTATCCAGGAAGAAAAATACCGCAAAACAAAACATAAACCACTTCAAACCTTGAGGATTAAGAGGTGGCGAAAGCAAAACAGCTTCCCCATAAGTTGCTTGTGAGAAAAACCACCCAACAGCACGTTGCCATCCGTTCATCGCCAATTGTTAAGTCCTGCGGAACGAACCTTTTTGGGGTCGTCTTGCTTGATGTCCAGGTCTTTCCCGCCTTCATGCTTGCCCACCAGAGAACCTTCGTCCGGCTCCTGGAAAACAGGGTCAGAGGTAATTGGCCTTGCCATAAGGAGAGCTTGAGTCCAGTGGCTGAGCTACCAGGGGCGGTGGGAACTGTTGCCTCTGGACAGACGGAGGGACTAGTTGGAGAAAAGCGGCCTTGATCACGCTGATCCCTTAGAGGCAGCTAAATACTTTGGCACCGGATGCATTTTCTCACAAAGTTAAGAGCAGCGTTTTGTCTGGGATCCAAGGTCAGATAAGAACGGCGCCTCTAGGAACCTGTTTCTTAATCTTGGCCACTTTGCGTCAGGTGGACTTTAACGCCCAGAAGTCAGCATGCTGGCTGGGGATTTCTGGGAGTTGAAGTCCACTGGTCTTAAAGCTGGTGACATCGAAGGGACAGACAACACAGCCCCACCAATCCCCCTCCTCCCGACCACAGCTCTTCTCACCCACCCCTGCCAGTCAGCAGGCTAAAGGTAAAGGTTCCCCTCCTTGCACATCCATGCTAATCGTTCCCGGCTGTAGGGGGCGCTGCTCATCTCCGTTACAAAGCCAAAGAAGAGCCAGCGCTGTCTGAAGACGTCTCCGTGGTCATGTGGCTGGCAGGACTAAACGCCTTTGAAGGCGCACGGAGCGCTGTTCCCTTCCCACCAAAGGGGTCCCTATTTTTCTACTTGCATTTTTTACATGCTTTCGAACTGCTAGGTTGGCAGAAGCTGGGACAAGTAACAAGAGCTCACTCCATTATGCAGTGCTAGGGATTCAAACTGCCAACCTTTCTGATCGACAAGCTCAAGAGTCTTAGCCACTGAGCTGCCACATCCCTAGTCAGCAGACCAGAGGGTATGAATTATATGCTTTAAGACAGGGGTCTTCAGCCTTGGCCACTTTAAGACTTGTGGACTTCAACTCCCAGAATTCCTCAGCCAGCTGGGAGTTGAAGTCCACAAGTCTTAAAGGGTGGCCCAGGTTGGAGAAGCCCTCCTCGCCTGCTGCCCTGTCTAGCTGCAATTCTGAGGCCTTCAAAGGGAGTGGACAGGATGCCCTCAAGGGGTGGCTGCTCCTGCGTGGCACAAATATTGACACAAAGAGACACACCTTCAGCGCTGACGCCCCTGTGACTTTCCTTGGCGACCTGGTGGAGGAAAACAAAGACACGGAGCAGATAAGAGCAGGAGAAGTAAACGCCCACCAGCCATTTAAGAATTCAGCTCGCAAGATTCCTTCTCTCATTCTTGCTCAGCCTCTACCAGCCCCGGTGGAAGATGAATGCAGGGTCCGGTCTGTGACATGCCCTCTGGGGGACCACAAGCCCAAATGCCCCCCGTGAGTCACTGGATTTTTTCCCCCCACTTACAACCAGCTGAAATGGCAGTTTGTGTGAACAGAAGCCCCTGGCTTCCCCAAGGCCCATGTTGTGTCCATCCTAGCTGGCTGTCACCCCCCAGAGCCCGGCCCCATTGCTTCCTTCACCCGCTGGGGATAGAACTGTGCGGCCTCCGAATGTCAAATTTCTACCTTTCCCTGCACTGCATTAAAAGAGGACGCGAGGCCAGGACCAACTTCTGATCGCCCAATGCTGCCGGACACAAGAGTGGCCGGGCCTAATGCCATCCCAGCCTCTGGCAAGAAGTGATGTGGTGTTCTGTGAATCAGAGACCTCATCTTTAGCATGGATGAGAGCTTCTGACCGTAAAATGCTATTCCAGAGATTAGATTTCTCTCCGCCTCTTTGGCAAAAGCAGCTGATAGGTAACAAAGCAGCAATAAACCACCCTGGAGGTGAATTTGCGAGCAAGGAGAGGGAGGGGCTTCTCTACCTTCCTCCTTTTTTTCCCGGCAGAGAGCACAGCCAAGAGAGGGCGGGGGAGGGGCTCTGAGCATTGCTACAGAGGAGACCCCAGCCAGGCAGGCAACCAAAGGGGGCTAGTCATAACCAAGGCTGACTTTCTTGTCATCAAACAAGGGAAAATCCCTTC